TAGGTGGATAACATGGAGAGCTGTCATGTGTATTTCTTCCCGGTCACTGATTTCTTATGACACGCTGGGAGCCTGGGGAGGGGAGTGCATGGGGACTTCTGGAGGTTCTGCTGGCCTCTGTCCCAAGTCTGCAGGTTCCAGGGATTTATGGGACGAGAGCATAGCAGAGGGGCCCCTTCCATGTCCTGAAATTTCAGCCCCAGCCCAGTTGCTTTAGGAAGACAGAGGGAATTGTGGTGTAAGGAACATCACAATGACACCAGCCCCACACTAGTTCAGCCCCCCTTGGCACGCCCCAGCACACTCCCAACATCCACCCGGGGCAGTCCTGGAGGCCCTGACCACCTCCAGCTCCATCTCCCCCCAGCAAGGACTGCCCTGACCAAGGATGTTCAAGGTGGGCTGATATACAACCCATCCCCCACTGGTTGCAGCAGGGGGGCAGGAGGGAGCTTGGAGTCCACACCCCCAAACCCGCAGACCCCAGGCCTGCCTCCATCCCCTCTTCCACCCCCATGGCTGGCAGCCAGGGTGAGTGGGGGTCCCTTCCAGGAGGCCTAGGTGCCTAACTTTCTTCCCCTGCTCTGGGGACCTCCTAGAAGAGTGGGTCCCCCCACCTGGCTCTCTGGCCCCTCTGACCCTGTGCGGCTCAGTTCACATCCTCCACTTCCTGGGCAACCTGGGGATCTGCAATGCTTAGGCTAGCTGAATAGATGCAGGTGTTTAACCCAGAAGGGCCCCATTCTACCCTCCCAGAAGGCTCTTCTTATTCCCACTTTGTAGGTGGGCACATAGAGGCACTGAGTTGTAATTTCACCAGCCATCAGGCAGCCAGGGAATGGGCGAGAATTGTAAGCTGGTAGCTGGTTCCACGCCCCTAGCCCACTCCTCCTACAGGGCAAATAGTTAAGGACCATGTATATCCTGCCCCCTCCTCCATCCCCACCCTCATCCCCCAGCCACTGAACAAGAGGACCAGGGAGATAGCTGTGGTGGCCCTAGGCTCAGCCACTGGCCCGAGGTGTTCAAGGGCAGGGTCAGTCCTGATACTCAGCTCTCCTAACCCCAAGGCCAGCACAACCCTCCCGGGCTGCCTCACCCAAGCACTCCTTGCCTCGTACCATGATCCAGGCCTTCCCTAAAAGGGTGAGCTAGTATCCTGGCATCTCAGGTACTGGCTTGCCAGGCCCTGTGCCCACCGGCACTGAGCACTTGAGAAGCTGGGACACTTTCCTTGCAGACCACATGGCAGACCCACACAGGACATCTTCTGGCCTCACCCAGAGAGAGCCCCCTGCTGCATCGCCCTTGTCCCCATTTTAGATTCTGCTGGCAGGACACATTTGTCGGGGCATCTGAAAGACCCTCACGGCAAAAGGGGGTATCAGCCCATGGTGGGGGGTGGGAGGTCAGGAACCGGCTTCTCTCTAGGTTCCTTCTTGGGGCTCTGGCTTGCAACCCACATGGAAATAGGCGAGATAAGATCTCGATCCGGAGCACCTGTCTCCGCGTGACGCTTTCTTAGCCTACTGTTGATCTTACGCTCCATCCTGTCTTTGGAGGAGGTGGAGAACCTCCTTGTGCAGTGTCAGATGTGTAGCAGCACCCTCTGGTGGCTCCACAAGATGCCAGCAGCCCCCCAGTCCCAGCTGGGACAACCCGGAAAATCCTGATACAGCCTTCTGGCAGGAGGGGTGGTGGAGAGGAAGCGCCACAGTGCACTTCACAAGGGAGGGTAGAGAGGGAGGAGATGAATGAAACCAGATGTTAACCTGGAAAGTATGTGTTGATGCCACACCCTCTTCCCAGAGCTGGAAGAGAAGGGTGCTGCTAGTCCTCTGGGATTAGTCATGGGAGCCTGCCCTGCCCCTGGAAGAGAAAGGGCATGGACTGCCCGGGTGCCTTTTTCAGCTTCCTGCTCTGACTCCTCCCACCCCTCCCGCCTTCCCTCCTGTTCCTCTGTGTGGACTGTCCCTCTGCCCCAGGTTCCGGGAACAGCCTTGTCCTTAGACGTGCTGGAGACCCTGTGTGTTACAGCAGCAGGCTCAGGGCAGGGAAAGGTGTGCTCAACTCCTAGTTCCTGCACGACTAATGGGCATGGTGCTTACTCAAACGCTGCGAACCTGGACAAATGATCAGAGGCCTCCAGCCCTCAGACTGCTCATCCGGTAAATGTGTGTGACAGCCCCAGGGGATCTTGGGAGCTTTCCAACTTGGCTTGGTCCCGTTAGCTGAGGGTTCTCTTTCTCATGTGACCTCTCTGGCCAGTCCCCCAAGTCATACCTAACTCTGTTGCCGCTGGTTGAGATCCAGCCATGACCCAGGGGACCACGATCGATCAGACAAGCACAGTGGGTAACAAGGATGCGAAAGGCGAGAGGAGATCACGTGAAACCTGCACCTCTCTCAGAGCGGTCACTTCCTTAGAATTGACACCCTTGATTCACCCTAGGCCTTCCTGACAAAGAACTACATCCTAAGGAGACATGGAAGACACAGACAGGATGAAATGGGGTGGGTGTGTGAGCTGGATACAGAGAGGGGCTCCTGGAGAAGGTGGCAGAACTGCTAGGCTTGCAAAGGGTAGGAAGAAAGAAACGCAAACAGATGGCTCATCCGGTCACACGTGACTTCGTGATGGGGATGCATTCTGAGAAATGCCTCATGGTGAACATCACGGCAGGTGCTTATGTAAACTAAGCTGGCCATGACTCACTGGAGGATTAAGTCTTACAGGATGGCCACTCTGTGCGGAAACCAATCAATCGCAGCCAAGACTGCCTCCGAGGAAAGCCTGGGGTAAGTTTTGGGCCAGGCAAATAGCTCCCAAATGCATCCCCTAGGTTGTTGCATTAGGACTTTTAGCCCCGGGACTTTATTTTTATTAAGAGAGCAGGGGGCTCAACTCTGTGTAACTCTATAATTAGGGGCTCTGTCATAGTGCCCGGGGACTGGGCAGGGAGGAAGAGAGCTTCCTGACACAGAAGTAGGTGGATGGGTAACTACAAACATCTCTCATCTTAGGGCTGTGCTTGGTCTTGGCTAGGGAAGTCCCTAATAAAATGAACAAATCTTGTCTAGGGGAGGGGTGAGGGGTGGCAGGGCAGAGGGTAGACAAGATATGGGAGGTGGAGGTGGTCATGGAACGTCAAGCAGAGTGCTGGGATAGGTTTTAGGGCAGCTGTTAATATGTCCCCTGGGATGCCCACATTCCGTATTGAAGAGCCTGGGTTTGAGTCCTGGCTCAAGTGGTTGGGTCCCTGGCACCCCTACTGAATATGTGGGCTCCTGGGCCTTTGTGACCTGAAATCAGCAGATGGGTTCTCTCTCACCAAATATTAAAAAGAGTGGCAACGGGATTGTAGTCACATGCCTCACCACGTGATGATGTTTCAATGATACACCACAAACGTGACAGTAGTCCCGTTGCCTAGTGACAAGTTTGCATAAGGACATTCCCCAAGCCTTGCAGAACAAAGAATTGCTCAAGGGTGCATTTCTCTGCTGTATCCTCATCACTAAGTACTGATGCATAACTGTAGATAAACATCAGCAAACAGCCTGGCCTCCTGTGTGGGCGTTGGTTTAAGTCCCAGCTGCTCTACTTCCAATCCAGCTCCCTGCTAATATGCATGGGAAAGCGGCAGCAGATGGTCCAAGTGTTTGGGTCCCTGAATCCACATGGGAGACCAGGAAGAAGCTTCTGGCTCCCAGCTTCAGACAGGCCTGGTTCTGGCTGTTAGATCTGCCGACCAGCAGAGAATGAAAATACCAGCCAACTACAAACAGGCCTTTATTATGCAAAGAGAAGTCCGTTCCTGGGCCTTTCCCATGCGGTGGAGGAGAGGGCCTCAAGTGGGAAAGACAAGCTGGGTAGCGGAGACAAAGCATTCATACCCCCTCTGACATGGGTGCTGGCATCAGCCCTGCTTGGGGCCTGATAGGACAGGGAATGTTGGCCTTTGTCCATCACAGGGCATACCAGATCTTTAGTTGAGGTCACTGTGGTATCGACCCACTTTCTGTAACCGTGGTCACCATCAATGGCCATTATGACCATTTGGGGAGTGAACCAACAGATGGAAGATCTCTCTTCCTGTCTTTCCTTCTGTCTCTATAAATCTGCCTTGCAAATAAAAATAAATCTTTTTTTTTTTTTTGGAAAAAAATCATCACAAAGTGAACAATGTGGCGATGGGAACCCTGATAAAGTGGGTGGACCCCAACTTATAACCAAGCTAGAGTGACAATTGAGAGGAGGTCAGGGTACACTTGGTAACAAGGAACAACATTCTAAAATAGAATGGATGACTGAAAGCCAGCTGAGATGAGGCAGCATTTACCGAGCACGCTCTGTCTTGGTCTGGAGGCAGAGCGCAAACAGGATTTGGGAGACCGTTATGCCAGGTGTAAGAGATGTAGTGGGCAAGGGATCGTGGTCTTGAAGGGACATGGGGTCTCCAGGGAGAAGCAGAATTTCCCTCACGGATGGGGGGAGAGCGTACCCAGCTGGGAGACTGCCTGTGCAAAGGTTTGGGGACCTGGAAGGGCGGCTGGGAACGGTGGATCAGAGCACAGGGACAGGGAAATGGAATGACTGCAGCCACAGGTGCCCGAGGTCTTGCACGCTGAGGCGAGGGGCCTCAGTCTTTATTTTCTAGATGGTAGTGAGCCCAAGGTGCTTTGAGGAGGGAGAGCCAGTGGTCTGGCTAATTCTGGAGTGGGCAGAAGTTAGGGATAAAAAGGAAGTAGTGGGGAGGTAGAAAGACTTGCAGAAGAGGCTGGGGGCAGGGCAAGGATCAGGGGCAGGAGCTATCCCGGATGCTGGAGACGTGCACGTTTCATATGGCAACACCTGGGTTTGTGCATGCCATGCGGGGAAAGAATGGAGGCAGGATTGAGGGTGACAGGCAGGTGCCTGTGGCCAATAAGCAGGGGTCTGCACAGTGGAAGGAGCCCCTGTATCTGATGCCCTAACTTTCTCCTTTCCCTCCTTCCAGGACTCACAGAACCCCTTGGTACCAAGCCACCGGCCACAGACACCATCCGGCAAAAAGCTGAAGCTGACACACCCAGCCCTGTCCTGCAAGTGGAAACAGGACCGTGAGCTATCTCTGGCAGCCGCCTACGTGCCCGTGGTGCTGGACCCCCAGGGGCAGAACCGGGACAAGCTCAGGTTCAACTTCTATACCTCCCAGTATTCCAACTCTCTGAATCCCTTCTACACTTTGCAGAAGCCTACCTGTGGCTACCTGTACCGCCGGGAAACGGACCACACTCGCAAACATTTTGACGTGCCTCCTGCTAATGTGATCTTATGGCGCACCTAAGGCAGGGCTGGCCAGTAGCCCTCCCTACGGCACCTGCATCCCTGAGACCCTCAGTCCCGGAAGGGAAGAGCTGTGGGCTCCAGGAGGAATGGCACCTGCCTGGACTGAAACAGCTGTGCCGTGGCTGCCTGCTGACAGTGGCACAAGGAGGGCTTTCTAACCAGCAATTGAAATCTGTTCTTTCCCCTGGCACCTAAGTGCCTATGGATGGCAAAGCTGAGGCTGGGGGGGCATGTTGGACAGCAAGGTTTCAGAGACTTGTAAGGACTTGATCCTGCAGCTGCTCTGTGCAGAAGTGACCCCAGCCCTCCCCCAGCCCTGATCCAGAGCCTACAGCCTGTCCAGGCCACAACCTCCGCGCGCCCCCTCCACCCAGGTTTGGCAAACCCTCAAATATAAGAAGGGCCTACAGCCAGCTGACCTTGACTCCTGCTCTCTCACAAGGTTAACTTGCCCTCAGGGTCAGAGCAGGACTGGAATACAGGGAGGAGCTGCAGGGAGGGAGGGTTCCAGGAGAAACTGCCTCTGGGACTTACTCCTCTGGTCTCCTCTGATGTCCAGAGGTGCCTGTCTTGCAGTTTGGGCAAGTTTGTTGCTCCCTGTACAAACCTTATATTCCCCAAATAAACCAACAATGCCAGGATCCCAGAGCTCCATCTGAGTCTCCCATGAGGATGCAGGGGCACAGGCACTTGGCGCATTTTCTGCTGCTTCCACAGGCACTTTAGCAGGGAGCAAGACTGAAAATGGAGCAACTGGTACCAGTCATTTCTATGGGATATCTGTGTTGCAGGCTATGGCTTAACCCACTATGCCACAGGCTAGCTCCCAAAACCTTTTTCAGATGAGTTTATTACCATTTGAGTGGGATTTTGAAAACCAGCAGAGACAAACGCAAAAAGTCGTAAGCATTCGACCATGCCGCATCGACCATGCCGCAGACACTGCGCACAAATATGAATAGGATCCTCCTTGTCTCACTCCTGCGGTGAGGGGCAGGAACCCTTGATGACCTCTTCCCGTTCCCTGGAGAATGGCTCCCCCTTGAGGCGTGCCTTGGTAGGGCACCCATTTCAGCTGACCCCAGTTCTATAGGCTTCAGAGCCAGATAATTCCTTTCTGCAATTTCACAGGTGCCCAGGACCCTGCGAAAATGGAGAGTGGGCAGGTGGCACCTTGGAGGATAATGGGTCAAGCCCGAGGCTGCTGCCCTGCTACCCCAGCTTCCCCTTTTCTTGGCCCCATTTACCAGCTTTCCCTTTTCTTGGCCCCATTTACCGAGTGGCTTGTCTGCCTGTCTCTGGCTTGGCTGGCATCTGCCCTCGGAGGATTCCTGTGAGCCAGAGCAGCTGGGGAAGCCTCAAACTCTCTCTCAGGAGCTCCCATGTCACTCGTGCTCTCCACACCCCTTGGGAGACACTTTGATAACCAGCACTCACAGTCTCCGGGAACCCCAGCAGGTGGTCCGTTCTCTGCCCCCAATTCTCACTCACATGGAAATAATCTCTCTCTCTCTCTCTCTCTCTCTCTCACTCACACACTCTCCCAAGCCGTGTGAGCCTGTTGTGCTGTGAGCCGTATACCTTGAGCCTGGCAGACACCGAATGGTAGGTCTGCCCTGCCTTGACTTTCTCGAATCCTTCGATCATGAGTGCACTCACTGTAGAATATTCTGTGGTATCCAAGCACCAGGCAGTCAAATAGGACCCCCCAGCAGGTCCTTGAGGAGTGTTTCATGACGGGCACAGCAGAGGGAATGGCGAGAGCCCAGGGAGTAGCCATTCTCCCAGGGAACACACCCTTACACCTGATGGTGTCACAGCAGCGGGGCTGTAATTAGGCGCTCCTTCAACAAGTACAAACTGTTACGGTTGTTTCTCAATGTACAGCTTTTTAAAAACTATTTTCATGGCGGAGAGAGACATCTTCTGTTCACATTTACCCCCCAGATGCTCACAACAACCAGGGCTGGGCCAGGCTATCCTCAGGACTCAAGAACCCCGTCTGAGTCTCCTGCATAGAAGGCAGGGACTCACATATTGGAGCTATCATTTGCTGCCTCCCCCTGCCAGTGTGTATTAGCAAGAAGTGAGATCCAAAGTGGATCAACTAATACTAAGATTGGCTCTTGGCTTGGCGCAGTAGCCTGGTTGTTAGGGTCCTCAACTTGCAAGCACTGGGATCCCTCATGGGCATTCATTCGTTTCCCGGTGGCCCCCTTCCCATCCAGCTCTCTGCTTGTGATCTTGGCCTGGGAAAGCAGTCGAGGATGGCCCATAGCCTTGAAACCTTGCACCTATATGGGAGACCCGGAGGAAGCTCCTGGCTCCTGGCTTCAGATCAGCTTAGCTCCAACCGCTGATCTTCTTCTCTGTATATTTGACTATCCAATAAAAATTAAAGAAAGAAATCTTAAAAAGACTGGCTCTTCACTATAGAATAGGGCCATCTTTGGGGGAGGGTCCCAACTGCTATGCCAAACGCCTGTCCCTCCATGCACCACATGACCGAGGGCCCATGATGACCCTGCTGAGAGAAGCTGCAACATGAGCAGTGATTCCTCTCAGCTGAGTCAGGGGACATGGGCTTGGTGCACACATGAAGCAAAGAAGGAAGCAAAGGGAGACTCAGATAGGCCGAGGGCTGGCTCTGGACCAGCCCGGCAGCATCTGACCTCTGTGCACCTGCACCTCTTGGCCGTTTCCATTCATGAAGCAACTTTCACGGCTGGCCAGGGGCTCACAGGGCACTGGGCGGCAGAGGAAGCTGCTGCTGCTGCTGCTGCACTCCTAGGCTTGGCCCAGCTTCCCAGGGCTGCACCCGTGTGCCTGGGCTCTGGCTCACACACTCACATACATACCCCAGGGCACCAGACACACCCCCAAGTCCCTGCTACTGGTGTCAAGCTGAGTCACAGGGAAGATCAAGTACAAGTCCTTCAAGGTTGGGAGAGATGCACCCTCCAAGAATGTGAGGAGTGTGGCCAGAGAATAGGATCCGTGTGTCCAGGGGACTTGTGCATGTTTGTGACTGTATGTGTGTGTGCCTATGCATGTGTGTGTGTGTGTGCGTATGTCTGTGAAAACAGCTGTGTATGCTGATGTAGGAATGGGCTCCCTGTGACTGCTCTGGCCTCTTGGAAGCCCCCAGCATCTGCCTGCACCTGTGGTCCCATGTGCAGCTTATGCTTGAACTGTCTCGGGCATGGTGTCCAGGTGTAGGACCCTGTTTGTGTACAGACCCAGCAGCCCGTGTCTAGATCCCTGCAGAGGATCCAACTTTACCACCGCTGCATCTCAGGGCAGACAAGAGGGCCCAAGGACATGGTGAACCTCCTCAAAGCAGAGGAGCTTGAAGGATCAGAGTAGCCCCTGGCTGGCCACCCACTATGCCATGGTAAGAAGGGATTAGGTGATTGCAAACTGGGCAAGAACATCCTCTTGCCTGCAACTGTAATCCCCTGGCCTCTGCTTCTTGGAGCTTTGTTCTATTTTTACCCCAGCTCCCCAGGGTGCAGTGGTGAGTTGGGGGTGGGGGCAGCTTTTGACACTGGCTCTCTTCCCCTGTCTCCTATCAGATCCTTGCCCTGCTCTGCTCAGCCTAGCAGGAGCCAAGCCTGTGAGAGGAGGGCCTGGTTTGAGAAGGGGCTGCCCAGGTGCTGCCCTGAGGCAGGCAACAGGAACTGCCAGGCTAGGGGACATCTGCCTCCTCCTGCAGGCCCAGGAGATGGGCAACGTGGTGGAAGGCAAGTCCGTGGAGGAGCTGAGCAGCACCGAGTGCCACCAGTGGTACAAGAAATTCATGACCGAGTGCCCCTCTGGGCAGCTCACCCTCTATGAGTTCCGTCAGTTCTTTGGCCTCAAGAACCTGAGCCCGACGGCTAGCCAGTATGTGGAGCAGATGTTTGAAACTTTTGACTTCAACAAGGTACATGGGCACTGGGAAAGCGGGGAGTCTGGCCAGCTTGTAGGGGGTGATGGAGAAGAGCAGGGATATTTGCTGGAGCTGTGACTTCCTATGTCTAATCATTTATGTAGGAGGTAAACTTGCAATGTCAGGGGTTCAGTTTATGTGACATTTATTAGGCACCTGCCAGGAGGCAGGCCATGGGGACTCAGGAATGGATCAGACTCTGGCCCTGCCTCTCTCCCCATTCAGAGGCTGACTCTAGTGGTTTCCTCTGTCCCAGGCACCACACACTTCAGCTGCTTCCAAAATGAGTGTGAGCCTTGCCAAGGCAGGCATTGAGCACCTAATATGTGCTATGCTGTTTGCGGTGCTTTGGCAAAGATCTCCGAGGCTTACTGGAACCAACAAGACAGAGTCAGTGGATGAGCCTGCAGCTCTGGCTGCGCTGGGGAGGGCAGCCCGTTACCTGGGTCACCGTGACATTCTGTGGATGCTAAGACTGGGGACAGGCAGAGCTGCTTGGGCCACTGGGAAAACCAGGAGATTTCCAGTGCATGTGATCAAAGGTGTCCATCTCCCTGTGTAAGTGAGCACCTAGCTGGCTTGGGTAAGCCCCCATTGTTTCATCAGTAAATCTTCCCACTTGTTGCAACAATTCAGTCAAGATGGAGTGAGAGAATGCAAACCCACAAACCCTGCCCCACTGCTGATCCCCATCCCTGCCATCCCCTCCTGTGAAAGGTGCCCAGGGGAAGTTCCCCTCCCATGCAGATGGTCCAGATGCCATGGGAGGTGGCCACCCCCCTTGTCCCAGGAAAGCTGGGCCCAGTGGCTATTTAAGACACACTAATACTAGAACCAAGGGACTCAAGCTGATTATCAGCTTGGAGCTCTAGCCTCAAGGGCAGTGGCCTCAGGCCTGAGGGCTCTGCTGAAGGGGGCAGGGGGCACAAGGGAGCAGGATACCAGGAGGCTGGTTCCCGCCATGCCCTGGAAGAAGCAATCATCCCTGTACAGGAGCAGGGAGTCCTCAGCAGAGCGCCCCCTATCCTCAGGACACCTGCTGAACGACCCCTACCTCCCACTGTAGCATCACACACAGGATGCCAGGGAGAGTCGGACCCTTGGCCTTGGACTTGCCTAACTTGAGAGCCATTGCTTTGCCATCTCTGTCCCTTTTGTCTTTTGTAAGAACCACCTGTTCAATCCCCAAACCTCAACCCTTTCTTTCCATTGGAAGTAAGTCAGGGGCTGACATTGTGGCACACCTGTTGCTTACAGCGTCTGCATCCCCGACCAGAGTGCCTGGTCCGAGTTCCAGTTACTCCATTTCCCATCTGGCTATCTCCTAAAGCATCCGCTAGGAGACAGCAATGACTCAACTACTCGGGCGTGCCACTTATATGGGACATCTGGGATTGAGTTCCTAGTTTGGTCTGATCTAGCCTTGGTGTGCTGTTGTGGCCATTTAGGGAGTAATTCTTTCTCTCTCTCTCCCCTCTCTGTTATTCTGCTATTCAAACAAACGAACAAATACATATTTTTAAAATAAAAAGTAAACTAACCTCAAATTTTGATCCCCCCTGGCCTCCTTGATTCTGCTACACACAGCCCTGTTTTGGAGTCTTTGTCCACCTGGCACCTTCCTCCCCTCAGAATTCTGCTTAACTCACACCTTCCCTGGCACCCCTCACTGCCACTCACTCTGATGTCCAAGCATGGACGAACTTTAATTAGAGCAAGGACTGACCTCTGTGCCTGTGCTTTCCACCACTCCTCTCCTCCCAAAGCACCTCCCATCTTCTTTATTTTTTTTAAGATTTATTTTTATTTTTATTACAAAGTCGGATATATAGAAAGAGAAGGACAGAAAGAGGGGAAGATTTTGCGTCTGATTATTCACTCCCCAAGTGAGCGCAATGGCCAGTGCTGCGCCAATGCGAAGCCAGGAGCCAGGAAACTCTTCCGGGTCTCCCACATGGTTGCAGGGTCCCAAGGCTTTGGCAGCTCTTCCTCCTCCCACCCCAGCACCTGTCTCCTCTTGACTGGACCCACTGCAGAGGGGCGGGGCTGGTGCAGGGGCGGGGCCTTGCGTGGAGGGCGTGGTCCTGGCTGGGTGTGACCCTGGTGAGAAGGTCTTGGTTGAAACCTGCTGTGGGGGCGTGGCCTGACGAGAAGGGCGTGCCTGATTGGGTGGGGCCTGAGTGGGAGGGCGTGCCCTGTTGGTCGTGATGGTGGGAAGGGCGTGTCCGGGTGGGCGGGACCTAATGGGTAGGGCGTGGTCGGGGCTGTGTGGAGCCCTACTGGCAGGATGGGACCTGGAGGGAAGGGCGTGGTCCAGGAGGGTCTGGTCTGGGTCGGGAGGGCGTGGCCTGACTGGAAGGGCGTGTCTATGGGCGGGGCCTGGCCCGGAGGGCGTGGCCTGGGTGGGCGGCCTGGGTGGGCAGGCCTGGGCGCACTCAGGCTCTTGGCCCCCTCGTGCAGGATGGCTACATCGACTTCATGGAGTACGTGGCGGCGCTCAGTCTGGTGCTGAAGGGAAAGGTGGAGCACAAACTGCGCTGGTACTTCAAGCTCTACGACGTTGACGGAAATGGGTGCATCGACCGTGACGAGCTGCTCACCATCATCCGGGTAACGCCAGGTGCCGAGGCCTGGGCAGGGGCAGCAGCAGCCCGGAGGGACCGGGAGCTGACAGGAGTCGCAGCCTCAGGGTTGGGAGGGAATTGGGGCTGAGTGTCAGGAGGTGACCCGGGCCTGTCCCTCTCCGTCTGTGGCCTCAGTGTCCTCACGGGTACCAGCAGACTGGACTCTTGAGGCCCTGCCTAAGGCTGGGGCGCTGCCGCCACTTGGTTTCTTCTCTCACTGTCCCCTTAGTTTATAAAATCGGGACCCCTTAGCTATTTATTTGAAAGGCCGAGAGAAGGAGAGAGAGGGAGAGATCTTCCATCTACTTGTTCACTCCTCAAATGGCTGCAATAGCTCAACCTGAGCTAAGCTGATCCAAAGCCAAGAACCAGGAGCCTCTTCTGGGTCTCCCACGTGGATGCAGGGACTCAAGGCTTTGGGCCGTCCTCAACTGTTTTCCCAGGCCACAAACAGGGAGCTGAATGGGAAATGGAGCAGCCGGAACTAGAATCAGTGCCCATAGGGGATGCCAACACTGCAGGTGGATGATTCGCTTATTGAGCCATCGTGCCAGCCTGAGAGAGCTAGTTTCCATCCTCTGGCTCACTACAGCCAAGCCTGTGTCAGGCCAAGAGCCTGACACTCTATGCAGGTCTCCCATGTTGCTGTCACTCTTGGCTCCCTTTCAAATTAGCAGGAAGCTGGGTGGGAGGGCCTTGCTGGGCTCTGCTGGGAGATGTGGGTGTCCCCAGCCGGGTCTTTGCCTCTGCACCCAGAGTCTGTCTGGCGCCACTCACTCATGCCTCTCCTGCCCCCCCCCCCCCCCCCCCCAGGCCATTCGAACCATTAACCCCTGGAGCGACTCCACCATGACTGCCGAGGAGTTCACCAACACTGTGTTCTCCAAGATCGACGTCAACGGAGATGGTGAGGGACCTAGGAGGGGCTCACCAGGGGAGGCTGCCCAAGGATATGGGGCCCCCAGGGGGTGGGGCAGTGGGGAAGAGGCACCAAGACCCTTTGCTTGTCACCTCTTCCGTCTTCCCCCGGACGCTGGCCCCACAGCCCACATCCCCCAGCATGGACTCCGTGCTGGCCTCCAACAAGTCCAGCCCTGAGCCCTCCTTGCCACGGCTCCCTTTCTCTCCACCAGGGGAGCTGTCCCTGGAGGAGTTCATGGAGGGTGTACAGAAGGACCGGATGCTGCTGGACACGCTGACACGCAGCCTGGACCTCACCCGCATCGTGCGCAGGCTGCAGAATGGGGAGCAGGAAGAGGAGGCTGGCGAAGGGGCAGCTGAGGCTGCTGCCTGAGCCATCCACCCCAGCTGTTTCTGTGCTGGGCTCGGGGCAGTGTGCTAGCACCTGGTGTCACTGGTGTTCTTGTCTTATTCCCACGTAGAATCCACTGACCAAGAAGGCTCGGCTTCCCTCCTTGCAGAGCACGGTGGCCGCAGAAGGGCAGGGCTGGGCGTCCAGAGCCAGGCCTGGGGAAAGGTCACCTCTGGGTGACTTGGCAGGGACAGGCTCCATGTTCAGCATTCTTGTGGCCTCCCGCTCCTCCCATACTCCTGCTGGCCTCTCTCCCACCTTCCCCACTGGGCAGTGCAGTCCCCAGTCTTCTGGACGTGTGACTGTGAGGCAGGACTGGGCTTTCCCAGGGCTCCCTGGGTAGTCTTACAGAGGCTGTATCCATAGTCTCAGTGCGGGCACTGCACCCCCGTCCCCCAAGAGAGCACTGTAGCCCACGTATGTGTTTGATCCAGTCCTCTCTTGTGAGCACCTGTTGTGAACTAATGCTCAGTATAACATGACATATGAAGAAGGTGGCTTCATTCTCCAGGACCTCTTAGGCCATGAGGAGAGCCACAACCAAGCATGTCATTATAAAACATGCCAGGGAAGTGATGGTCTCTATAGGAGACACCTGTAGACTTGGAGACAGCATCACAGCAAAAACTCAATTCAACTTAGGATGTGAAAAAGGGGTTGAGTGCTGCATATAAATGTGGTATGTGAGAGGCTGGGGGTGCATCTGGGACATATGTGTGTCGCATGTAGTGGGCTGTGTGATACGTGTGGGGCACCCAGGTGTAAACTGGGAATATCCCTTAGGGCTTCTGTTTCATACAATGTGAAACAATATGGGTCGCCATGGCCAATAAAATACATGCATACTTTAAATGATGCTTACATAGTTGATCAAGGTGGGAAGGATCCAGGGTTAGGGAAAACTGGGTGTGATCATTGTTTCCAAGCTTTCTATTTCTTCTTCCCTTTTCTGAGGGGAGGGGAGATATAAGGGGATAGGCCAGACCCAGTCTCCCTACCATCCTGGTACCCAAGGATGGCGAAAGGCCACCCGATATCAACCCAGGATCACCGAGTGGTGCACGTTCCAAAGCTTCTGCCCAGGTGGATGCAATAGTTTCCAAATGCTGTCAATCTCGCTGATCTATGGATGAGGAATCCTTCCAATGTCCATTGGCTGACACCATCCACCTTATAGTCTCCAATCACCCAGATATTTGCTGTCATTGTTTGGCTGGGGTGGTTATCCATATGTTCCGTTCTCCATTCTCTGCTATGGTACCAGATGTCCTCTGCAGGCCCCAATGAGCTACCATGTCCTCCATGTGCACCATGGTCTGCTGTCCAGCAATTCATCCTCTGCACCGGGGAGGACCAGTTCTCCTGGGTGGGTTCATGGACCTGAACCAGGCAACCTGAGCCATGCCAGACCCCCCCACTCTTGGGGCCCATGGATCCAGCAACCACCTCACAGGCAGGCCCCTGGCCCCTGGCCATGCAACCCGGGACCTACTGGACCTCACACCCCCCAGGGCTCATGGACCCAGCCCACACCACAAAGGTGGGCTGGATGACCTGGACAGGACACCCAGGCTCTTCCAGGCTCCCCACCTCTGTGGCTCACAGATCCAGCATCCACCATAAAAGTGGGCCCAAGGCCCTGGGCCATGCGACTCAGGACCTCATGAACCCTCCACACCTGGGGCTCACTGACCTGACACCCACCATGTAGGTGGGCCCTAGAACCAGGGCCAGGGGACTCAGGGCCCTCCAGACCTCTCATCTCTGGGGCTCACGGACCCAACACCCACCACCTCCTGAATGACATGGTTCATCTTCCTTGGCATCCACCAGTGGGTACTTCTGCCTAGTTTGAGCCAACCTGCTCCCCAATTCAGCTTGTGATGGTTGGTGCTGCAGCCTAGCCTTTCCCAGGAAGCCCCCAGTCCCGGCTGGAGTGTGAATTGACTGGTGATGTGGCCTGACTCCTTTCCTTCCCGCACTCCATCCTGATTCTGAAATCTGCAAGTGTATATTATGAACTGGCCTGGCCCACCCCCTGACCTAACCCACATGTATGCCAATGGTGCCGTAACCTGGTCTGGTTTGGGCTGCTCCTTTCCTTGGTTCTTGTACATATCTGCAAGGCCTGCAACCTGACAAAGGAGTTCACCAAAACTGCTCTATCCAGTCTCCTCCCAGTGGCAGATCTTGCACATACTGCTGGGACTCTGGCCCAGGTTGACTTTATCTACCTGTTGTCCTGGCAGGAATAATATCCTTGCCCAATCGGCCCATACCCTTTCTCATTCTTACTGTTGGGTGTTGCAGCCCATCCACACCTGGTCATATCCAGACACAGCTCTCACATGGTTCAATGGGAGCTGAGACCTAATCCAACCCGCTCCACACTCACGCTCTCACAATTACCAGTGGGTGCTGGAGTCTAGCCCAGCCTGGTCCTTCCCAGACCCAGGCTACACCTGTGCCGGGGGAGATTACAGCTGTGTTCAGCCCAGGTCAGTGCACTGATTCTGGCACTGACATTCACTGATGGGAATTCCAACCCAAACGGGGCATCCCCTTAGCTATCAGCCAAGCCTATTCCCAGCCACAGTTCTTGTGCATGCCAACAGAGATTGCTGTTTCACATGGGTGAGCCCACATATTGCCTTGCAGATTCTATCCCCAGACCTGATTCACTCACATATCCGTCGACTTCATGGTTCAGCCTCACTGAAGCTGTTCCCTTTCCTGTTTCCCTGTTCCCTGGTGGGTTCCATGTTGTAGCCCTTCAAGTAGAGTGGCCTCACCATGGAAGTTCCAGAGAAGTAATTTCTCACCTGGACCTGACTCTAAGGTCCTTGCCAATGGCCACCTGTCCCATCTCTCAGACTCCCTGTAAGCCCATATCTTCAAGAGCTCAGAGACTCAAGCATTGAACCTGATCTGGCCTAGGTCCCCCACAACTCATGCAGCTGGGAGGGCCGAGCATCTGCGCCTCTAGGTCAAATTCACTTGGGCTCCTCCCACCAAGATGGTGGGGGTAGGTGGAGCTTGGGTCCCACACCTGCCCAAAACTGCCCAAGATCCCCCCACAGTGTAATTACTGTGGAGGGAGAAATCTCTTGGGCCTAGACAAGTCCAGGATTGTCCCATTGCCTGGCAGCAGTGGTCAGGGTAGGGCCCCAAGCATTGAGCCTAACCTGACCCAGGTCCTCCTTGTAGCTACCACAAGACTAGGAGCCACCATGACCATGTTTAGGAAGCATCTCCTATGGCCCCAAAAAGACAAAACACAAGTCTGTCAATCCATAGTGATGGGACATTTAGCCTAGCGTTTAAGAAATCCGCATCCCACCTTGCAGTCCCTGGGTTCAATCACCAGCTCTGGTTCCTGTCTCCAGCTTCCTGCTAATAGTGCAGGGAGACTTCCTTGCAGAGGTCTCCCATGGGAGAGACCTGGATTGGGTCCCTGGCTCCCAGCTTTGGCCCTGGGCCCTACCCCAGCCACTGTGGGCACCTGGCAAATGAACCAGTAGATGGGAGCTCTCTGTCTCATGAAATAACAGATTAAAAAAAAAAAGTTGGCAATGCTAATAAGCAGATAGGGATGGAATGTCTGGGTGACACTATAGACCTGAATCATGACAGATGACCAGCTATGGTGTGTGTGTGTGTGTGTGTGTGTGTGTGCACGCGGGCGCCTGCATAAGGCTGTGGGGATAGGTACTTGCTCAAGTTTGTATCACCCAAAGAGTGAGAGCAGGTGGGTGGTACTGTGAGAAGCCCTGTTTATGTAAGAGAAAGGTGTAGTTTTTTTTTAAAAATGTTTATTGAATTTTTAAAAAGATTTATTAATTTTTGATTGAAAAGTCAGATTTGCAGAGAAGCAGAGACAGACAGTGGCTGCAACAGCCAGAGCTGTGCCCATCTGAAGCCAGGAGCCAGGAGTTTCTTCCAGTCTGTCACATAGGTGCAGGGTCACAAGGCTTTGGGCAATCCTCCTCTGTTTTCCCAGGCCACAAGTAGGGAGATGGATGGGAAGTGGAGCAGCTGGGACATGAACTGGCACTCATATGGGATCCCAGTGTATGCAAGGCGAGGATTTAGCCACTATGCTATATGCTAGGCCCAGAAAGCTGTATTTTGTTGTTATTTGTTTCAGAAGAGACCCTACAATTCTCTCACCTTTCCCCTGCTTGGTGACTTGTGATGTCACAGGCATGTAACTCATTGAGTGAGCAGTGACCTGACCAGTCCTGGTCCAACCTGAGTCCCTCTTGCTGCTATGATACCTGATACTGCCTGGAAAGTAGGGCACTTGGCAATGGGTGGGCACCACTACCCCAAATCTTTGTATCCCCCAACTTGAAGAGCACCCTCCTGCAACATGTACTCCACAGAACACTAACAACTGTTCTAGCTTCTGCTCTTGAATGCTAGTGGCCTGGTCACAGGAACCTGGAAGCGACTCAGGCTGGGACATTGGTCACTGTCTTCTCAGATGCTGTCTCTTCCTCATTAGTCTCCCTGTAGCGCTGTCTGTGCGGGGATTGGCAACCATGTGGGAGGGCAGGGAGTGAAGCACCACGTCAGAGGGCACTTCACCGGGTGTGTTCTGCTCACCCCTCTTCTGCTCCTCACTAGAACCACCCCATACAGGGAAGCTGGCGCAAGCCCAAGCAGCAGGCATGGAAGGAAGGTGGGAAGCTGTACCATGGGCAGAGACAGCTCATGCACCTGCTGTCTGCAGATCAGGCCTGGGAGCACATCCACACGGGGGCCCACTCCCTGTGTGTTCCCGGGGCACCTGCCAATTTGGTTATGTGTGACCCTTATCTGGATTACCATTCATTTTTAACTTCCATGGTTTTTATTTCTCAACTTAACTTCCAAAGGAAAACCTGGCATGATGCTCCCACGAAACATCCTGATTGCGAAGCCCCAGGCGCAGTAGTTGAACTTTGTCATACATGGACTGGAAGGACCTAGCCACTCGGCTGCAGTACATGTCTTCCCAGGGCTCACAGGGGTCACACTAGTTCTTCCCCACCTGCTCCCAGGGGCGGGCAGGGCCCCCAGTTCCCCAGCTGCATTTCAGCCATAGCAGTTCCCTCCTAATCTAGTCTCAGTATTGCAATCATGCCTAAGAGTTGGGGAAACAACAGAACTCAATGACATTAAAAAAATGTTCATCTGCTCTGCTTGTGTGACCCAGCCTGCTCCTGCACAGGTGAGGGGAACAGAGGTTTGGGAGGGGAAGGCCAACAGAGACAAAGCCTGGCCCAGAACCAATGGCCCGCTCTCCCCAAGGAATGGAGGACACTTTCCTTCAGCCTCCCAGGAGACGTGAGTTTATGGCTGGGAACCATGGAGGGTCCGTGCAGGAATGGGAGCCTGGGGTGGAGGTGGGGAGAGGTTGGAGGACAGCAGGGACTATGCAAGTAGCACTGGGCACAGCGGGCCCCTCCCAGGGAAAGAAGATGACATCCTTCCCCTTGTTATGAGCCCTGGATCCTAGGGGTTATGTCCTTATTAACCCTTGCCCCGCTCCCACTGGCCTTGGTGGCAACACCTGCCATCCCCTTTCTCCTACTAGTCTTGATTGCCAGCCCATGGTGTAGGCATTTATCGTTGATTTTGCCTCTTCGTTGGCCTCTGCTTCCAACTGAGAGCCCCCCCACCCCAGACTCCTGGGGGCATCCCCCCATTCCCTCCTCCTGTCAGGCACAGCTCTGTCAGAAGTAGCTAATGGGGGCCGAGAAGAGAGCCCCTATTCCCTTCAGGTCCCAGCAACTCCTCCAGTGTCTAACCCCGTAGCTCTTCCCACTCAACCTCCTACTTAGCCCCACACAGGGGGGAGCTTGGTTACACTGAAATCTTGGGAGAGCTTGGGGGGACTGTGGAGAGGGTGAGGGACCCCTCAGAACATAGCACTTTTCCGCCTCTGCTGAGAGATCCAGCCTCCAGGGTTCACGTCCATCTGCAACATCTTCATCACCCACTTGTCCCGACGCGCACCTTCGATGAACTCATTCAGAGACAGCTGACCTGCGGGGAGCAGGTGGGTTGCAGAGGGTTGGGTCCAGGTGAGGGTGGTGGAGGGAGGAATGGAGGCTGGGACCTGGAGGAAGAACCCTCTCCTAGGATTTGCCCACAGTCCTTGGACAAAGCAAGCTGCAGTCTCAGGTCCCAAGCTGACGTACTCCAGGAGGCTCCTGGAAACCTAGAGCAGTTTGATGTCTGCAGAGTGAATGATGTTTTTTCGCTTCTGTCTGTGGTACCTCTAACACGCTGGATGGAGCCGAGAGCCCTTCTGTACATGGCCAAAGCTAGCTCACTCCCTGTGGAACCCTGGGGCTAGACATTGAGAACTATAGGAAAGGCACCCCAACTACCTTAAGAGGAGGACGCCCTCTGCCTGGCACTCATCCTACTGGCTTCTCGGACCACCCCTGATCCCCACTCTTCAGGCGAGAAACAAGAGCAGGCCAGGAATTGAAACGGATCCTGCAGGCCTGCCCGACTCCCAGGCTTCCAATCTTTCTACTGTACCTGTTGACCTACTGTGGTAGTTCCTGTGGAAGGTTGGGTCACTCCTGCAAACCTCATGTGATCCTGCCACCCTCCATCATTTTGTGTTATTCTCTAGGATACCAGTCATTGGGGGGAGGGGGAGGGCCCGAGGACACATGACTGGAGAGTGGAGGTGCAGGAGAGTGAGCAGCCCTCCCTACCTCACCAGCCCTTCCCCTCTTACCATCCCCGTTCTCATCCACCAGGAGGAAGATCCTGTCCACGACCTCTTCCGGCGTGAGCAGCTGGCCCTGCTCCTCCTGCAGATCTACCCGGCAGGCTTTCTTCAGCCTGTAAATCGACTGTGGAGACAACTCGGATGTGTGGATCCCCACCACCCACAGCCCTCAGTACCACCTCCCCTCGCTGGCAGAAAGCTGATCTATTCTAAGGCTGAATGATGGAGAAAAAGAGGGAGGGAGGGAGAGAGAAATCCTCGACCCACTGGTTCACTTCCTTAATGTCTCAAATGGCCAGGGCTGGGCTGGGCTGAGCTCCAGGAGCAAGAAACTCCATCTAGGTCTTCCACATGAGTGACAGGGACCCAAGGACGTGGGCCATCTCTCACTGCCTTCCTAACCACATTAATAGGGATCTGGGTCAGAAGTGGAGCAGCTGGGGCTTGAATCACCACTCATGTGGGATGTCAAGGTCGTACGTAGTACCTTAATCCACTGTGCCCCTCTTCGATTTACTTTATTATTATTAGACTCTTCTGTGTTTTCCTAATTGAAATGTTTCCTAGGGCATTGATCTTTTCAGTCTTTCTTATTTTCTCAAGTTTATGTTTTTTTCCAAGGCCAGCTTTAGCTGTGTTCCATGTTCCGATTATTGGTGTGTGTACGTGTGTGTTATGTCTTTGACTCATGCAGCATTTGGGAGGACACAGCCCAGACAGAAGGGGTTTTCTAGGTTTTCTGGGTTGCTACTTAGGTGACTTCCCACCTTGTCTAACATGACCTCTCCCCGGCCCCTAGCCCAGGAAATGCCCCTCTAACACTGCCTCTCTAACACCCCACCCCAGGGGCCGTGCTCCATGCCCCCTGTGCGCAGTGATCCCAGGGCTGCTACCACAGACAGACGCGGACCTGCACGATGTCAAGCAGCTCCAGGCGGTCGATGCAGCCGTTGCGGTCCTTGTCGTAGATCTTGAAGGTCCACTTCAGCTTGTGCTCCAGGGTGCCCCTCAACACCAGGTTCAGGGCTGCCACATATTCCAGGAAGTCAATGGTGTTGTCCTGTGTGGGAAGTGGCTGCTGCTGAGGCTGCTCCAGCCACAGCCCCTCCTGCCTGGGATGCAGGTGCAAGCCCTGACCATGCCTGCCATTGAGGCAGCCTCTGCACTTTCACTCAGGTTTTTCTTGGCCTCAAGGTGAGTGTTTTTTTTTTTTCTGGGGGGGTGGTTTCCTTTCTTATCCGTTATGTTCACCAATCCCCTTCATCCTCCAAGGCTTAGTGTGAGGGCCCCCTCCTCCAGGAAGCCTTCTTTCTTACACCACTTCAGCCACAGCTTTCTTAGCCCTACATCATCTTCATCTGTAGCACTTGCTGTCTATTCTACACACAGTGGGACTTGCTCTGGCAAATCACATTATGTCCCTTGGAAGAGAGGGAGGGATTGGCATTGCCTGCATTTCTCCCCCATGCCTAGCCCAGTGTCACTCATGCCCAGTTGGGTCCCATATCATGTAGTCAATGAGCAAATGATGGACTTGGACTGAATTTGGGTCTGAGGAGGTTCTGAAAGAAGATCAGAAAGCAAGGTAGTTTAGTGGGGAGGATATTGGGCATTTGCTGTTGTTTCTGTAATTTTCTGTTACACAATGAACACATGTATTTTTTTGTTACACCCCTGGTAACTTCCTTAGGGTAAAGTCTTAGTTATGGTTTTGTATTCTTTCACAATTATTTATTTATTTACTTGAAAAGCAGAGAGAGAGACAGAGTGGGCTCTTCCATCTGCATGTCCATTGCTCAAATGGCCACAATGGCCAGGATTGGGGCAGGCTGCCACTGCAAGTGGTAGCTTAACCTGTTTGTCCCACAACATCAGCCCCTATAGTTATCACTTATTAAACTTACTAAAAGCAATCTTGGTTTGCTTTTTTTACTTACAGAGAGGAAGAGAAAGAGAGAGGAGAGAAAACTCCCATCTTTGGCTTCTTCTCCAAATGACTGCAATGGCCAGAACTAAGCCTGGTCAAAATTGGAAGCCAGAACTCAATTCAGGTCCTCCCTGTAAGGGACAGGGACCCACTAACTTGAACCATCAAGGCTTCCTAGAGTCTACACTAGTGGAAAGCTTGAGGAAGGAGCTGGAGCAGCTGGGACTTGAACCAAGGTACACAGGTTGATGAGCCAAAGCTGAACAGCCACCCCTGGTTTTGTTCTCGGTGTGAACTGAGCATGAAAATGCAGCCCTTTCTTCACAGATGAGAACCTGAGCCTCAGCAGGTTCACTGCCTCCTAGCCAGCAGTGGCTGAGCTTGTCAGCTGCCCACATCTCTGGCTCAACGGGGAGGAAAACTTGCATTCTCCATTTGAGGAGCATCTCTGCCAAGCACGTGAGCCTGGGGTGTAGGAGTGAGTGTCCAGGGGAGAGCGAGAAAAGCCAACATTGAGGACAAATCCACTCTCCGTCTTTGGCCAGAACCTCTTGTCCTACAGCGTTCTCTCTCAACAGGATTCTGTCTTCACAGTAACCCCTGTGTGGTATAGCCACACCTTAGTGCGGTTCCTTCCCTTCCTGACAAGGCATCCCACCTCGCAGTTCCGGCACACACCCCGGATCATGACTGGGAAAGTTGCCAGTAAGACTAATCCCAGCCCAGGGCATGGGTCCTTGTCAGGTCCAATTATGCAGGACGGATGGAAACACCTCTGCCCACTGAGGAAGGGCCTGGGCATTGGGGCATCATCTGCAGCAGACCGGATGTGAGTTATGTAAGAATTGCAAAGGACCTGTGGCCTCCCTCAGCCTTCCTGTTCTTGCATCCCAGGGCGACCACCAGAGGGAAGAGGGCTGCAAGGGGGAGACAAGGCATTCCTTCTGCTGCCACCAGTGAACCCCCATTTCCATCGCCTCAGGTTCTGACACGTTAGACCTGTGAACACGGTATTTGCTCAAAATTCTCCCACTGACTACCTAAAACCGGAGCTCTCTGGCTAAAGGTTGCAGCAAGATGGGGAACAGAGTTAGCCCTTGTCTGAGGAACTTCTAGACAATTCTTTCCTACATTTGAACACTGGTCCACAAATCCCCGAGAGAACCCTTGGAAATGCCACAGTCTGAGGAGCAGCAGGATACTTGGTCCCTAGGTCTGTCCCTACAGGATGCGGCTACTGGAGGAAACAGCCACTTCAGGGCAGGGTTCCTGGCAGAGACCCCCTGACCCCATGTGGAAGCTGACCACATCACAGACAGGATGACCTGCCATCATGTCCATGGTGACCTGAAGCATACAGCAGTGACCCTTTGTCCAGTGACAGGAGGAGGAGAGAACCTTGCCAGAAGTGTAAAGACTTGAGTTTTCCTCATGAGGAAATACTGCACAGACTCACACAGCGGGGTTGGGGTGGAGGGGGTGGCATCCTACAAGATCACTGCCATCTTGCGAAGTGTCAAGGTCATGCAAGAGTTAAGAAAAGCTGTGGCTAAGGATTCTATACTAAAGGAGACTAGACAAGTAAAGGCGATTCCTGATCAAACTGAAAAATAAGAAGAAATCTATAAAATACACCAATGGGGAATAGCTTTCACACGTCACAGTAAACAAGGTGCCGGCTGTGTGTGTTGGTTTTACTTAATCACCCAGTATGGTATATGTGTCACAAAATGTTACCCCATATACGTTACTATGTGTTAACCAAAACTCATACTGATTCAAAAAGCACATTGTTGGGACAGCCAACTAAATCTGAACATGACTGTCACTTAGGTAATAAAATTTTGATCAATGTTAAATTTCTTGATTTAATAATTGCACTCAATGCCATCATTCTTAAGAGAAAATACACGTTGAACTATTTAGGGGCGAAAAAACACAGTGTCTGCAACTTTCTCTTATGAGAAATATGTGTATATTTGTATTTTATATATGCATGTTGTGTATGGCGTCTATGTGTACACAACCCATGATAATGTGTGTATACATGCAGAGAGAATGGTATGGTACTTGTGGTACGTTGTACAAGAGGGATACTACTTGGGCTGTTCTTGTTTTTGTTTTTGTTTTTGTTTTTGTTTTGCAAACACAGAATCATCAAAATCGAAAAATCTTTAAGGCATGGAAGAAGCTCTTGGCTCCCAGCTTTGGTTCAGCTCAGCTCTGGCTGTTGCATCTATTTGGGGAGTGAACCAGTGGTTGGAAGACCTTTCTCTACATATCCCTCTCTGTGTAAAGTCTGCTTTTCAAATGAAAATAAATAATTTTTAAGGCAACTGATTACTATCACATGCTGATTCAGAAGAAGAGAGGAGTTATTCAGGGAAATTACATCAGGGGTTTAGTAATCCCCTTCGGATCTTGGAGTTTTAGATGAATACAGGGCAGCCTCATGTATTTATGAGAGTGGAACTTGCCACTTATGACCTGATAGATAATGTATGTCCTGATACATTTAATTACTTCTCTTGATGTTTAATACTTCAAAAAAAATCACTTTCTCTCTCTCTTTTTTTTTTTTTTTTTTTTGGTGATAGAGAGTTCCCATCAACTGACTCACGCTTCAAATGCTCATACAGGTCTAGACTGAGTCAGGCTGCAGGTGGAGCTGGCAGCTCAATCCAGGTCTCCTGTGGGAGTGTGCCAGGAACTCAGCTACTTGAGTCATTACCACTATCACCCAAGGTTTGCCTTAGCAGGAAGCTGGAGTTAGGAGACAGAACTGGGCACTGGAGCCAGGCCCCCTGATGTGGGATGTGGGGATCTTCACTGCTAGGTGAAACGCCAACCCCTATTTCCCATTAAACCCATCGCTGCCTCCCAACCACCTTCTTGGCAAGAGAGCTCCTTCTAGGGACAGGGAGCTCGCCCAAGATGGCTAGGAAAGCGAAGGGCACCAGGCAACACTGTCCACCATCCCTCCCCTCCAAGGTACCTTACCCCATTCTTGTCGAAGGCTCGGAACATGCCCTCTACGTACTGAGTGGCTTCCTCATTGCCTGAGACTTTGAAGAAACGTTTGAACTCGTGCATGAAGAGGGTGCCACTGGGACACTCCACCACGAATTTCTTGTACCACTCCTGGAGGTCAGCCACATCCATCTCGCCAACCTCCTCCGTCTCCTCCCAGCTGAACTGCTGTCCCATCTTGGCCCTGAGCAACCAGAGTCTGTGCTCCCAGGCCTCTGCTGACCGATTGCTCAGGCTTGGACCCTCGAGTTTCTTTCCTCTTCTTGACCAGTGCTCTCCTCACCTTCAGACAAGACAGACGTGATTGGTAGCAGGGGTGGGGCCAGAGTAGCTTAGCCATCCTAAGACCATTAGAAGATTCCCATGGCACGTCTGACTCTAGGTCAGTTAAGCTCCCTCCAGTCTCCTCTCTCTACTCGGCTTTGCCAACCAAACACCCCAACCTTGCCTCCTTACCCTTCCGCAGAGGCTGAGGAGGGAGGGAGCAAGAAAGTAAGAAGCAGGCAGAGTGTGTGTGTGTTGGGGGAGGTGGGGAGAGGCTCCAGAGAGCCCACCCTGGAGATACAAGTGGCTCTGCAGTGCAGGCTGCTGCTGTTGGTCCTGGCCTTGCCTGCCCATGTGATCCCATGAGCAGTGGTAAACCTAAAGCCTGGGGAACGGTACAGTCCTCAGGGCAGTGTCTGAGGCTCCCTTCCAGGCCACACCCCAGAGCTGCATGGTTGCTCCTTTTCCAAGCTAAAATACAAATGTTGGCCTCCAATCTTCGCCTGACACCTGGAGGCGATGCTTTCCTCCCTGGCATGAGGGCCAGGGAGCAGAGCCTGTGGCGTCTTTACAGGATCTTGTTTCTGTGCTAACGGTCAAGCACACATAGTCTGGATTATGTGCGCGTAGATGCATGCTATTCTCATGTCCTGTAAAATGACACAGGGAGGGAGTGTGCAGCACTATGGTATAGCACGAACAGCTGCTGACTGTGGTGCTGGCATCCACAGCTGCTCCACTTCCAATCCAGCTCCTTGCTAATGGCCTGGGAAAGTAGCAGAGGATGGTCTAAGTTCTTGGGACCCTGCACTTGCGTAGGAGATCCAGAAGCTGCTCCTGGTTCCCAAGTTTTTAGACTGGCCCAGCTCCAGCCATTGTGATCTTTTGGGAAGTGAATCAGCAAATGGAAGATCTTCCTCTGTATTTCTCCCTCTCTCTGTAATTCTGCCCTTCAGAAAAATAAATAAATCTTTTAAAAGTGACATTGTTTTTAACATTGTCCAAGAAACCAGAAATCTCCAGAAGATTTTATGGACAAATATTTCCTTAGACTCTTGTAATCTGGTCTTCGGCACCAATGTTGTGGTGCAGGAGGTTGAGTTGCCCAAGACACCAGCATCCCACACAGTTTGAGTCCCAGCTGTGTCACTTCCCATCCAGCTCCCTGCTAATGTACCTGGGAAAACAGTAGAAGATGGCCCAAGTGCTTGGGGCCCTGTACCTGCATGGAAGACCCAGAAGAAACTCTGGGCTCCAGGCTTTAGTAGCTGGCCCAGCCCTGGCTGTTGCAGCCATTTGAGGAGTGAACCAGCACATGGAAGCTCTCTCTCTGTAACTCTACCTTTCAAATACATAACTAAATCCAAAACAAAGAGAAAGGCAGGCAGGGAGAGAATCTGTCCTTAGCTTCAGGGCTGGCACTGCCCTTGCCCTGCTCACCTCCAGCCCACTGCCTCAGGGCAGCCCTGGCCCCTAAGGACTCTTTCCAGCCCCTCCCACCGTGGGGCTGCTGGCTCTGCCCTCCTTTCCAGGACAGATGGGTTTTCCTCTCACATCCCTTCAGACTCAGAGGGCAGGCCTAGTGCCCTCCTCACTCCTCCCTGTCTCCAAAACCACGCCCCCTCCCACCCCTTTATTTACTCTTCATTGCCAGCCCGGGCAGGTGATGGTGCCACTGGTCTCCACTGGTCTTGAAGCAATGTCTTAGCAGTGTCAACAGATGTTCAAGAAGTGACCCAATCCACGTTCAGCTTCAGCTGCACCCCAAGAACATTTTATCACCCCTCACTGGCCTCCTGCTCACTTGTGGTCTAGGGGGCCGACACCTGCAGCTTCTGGAGCTGAATAGAAATCCAGGTTCCCGACTCGGCATGATGGTTCAGTGGCTAAATCCTTGCCTTGCATGCATGAGCATCCTGTATGGGCCCCAGCTCATGTCCTGGCTGCTCTACTTCCCTCCCTGCGTCCTGCCTGTGGCCTGGGAAAGCCAAAGAGGATGGCCCAAAGCCTTGGGACCCTGCACCACGAGGAAGCTTCTGGCTTCCAATCCACTCAGCTCCAGCGTTGTGGCTATTAGGGGAGTAAAACTGCAGACCAAAGATCTTTATCTCTGTATTCCCCTCTCTAAATCTCTTTCCAATTATAAATAAATAAATCCTAAAAAAGAAAGAAATCCAGATCCTGGGGCCCAGGACGATGACTCAATGACTCAATTGCAACTCCTCCCCTTGCAAGCGCCGGGATTCGAAATGGGTGCTGGTTCTTGCCTGGGCTGCTCCATTTCCTATCCAGCTCCCTGCTGATACCCTGAGAAAGTAGCAGAGGCTTGGGACCCTGAACTTGCATGGAAGACCTAGAAGAAGCTCCCAGACTCAGATCAGTTCAGCTCCAAGTGGTGTGGCCATTTAGAGAGTAAATCAGCAGATAGATCTTTTTTTTTTCTTTTTTTGGTAAGATTTATTTATTTTTATTGCAAAGTTAGATACACAGAGAGGAGGAGAGATAGAGAGGAAGATCTTCCGTCCGATGACTGTAACAGCTGGTGCTGTGCCAATCCTAAGCTAGGAGCCAGGAGCCTCCTCCAGGTCTCCCACGTGGGTGCAGGGTCCCAAGACTCTGGGCCGTCCTCGACCGATTTCACCAGGCCACAGGCAGGGAGCCGGATGGGAAGTGGAGCTGCCGGGATTAGAACCGGTACCCATATGGGATCCCAGCATGTTCAAGGCGAGGACTTTAGCCACTAGGCCATTGCGCTGGGCCTGAAAGCTCTTTTTCTCTGTCTCTCCTTCTCTGTGTACATCTGCCTTTCCAATAAAAAAATATAAAAAAGAAATGCAGATTCCCAGGCCCCAGACCTACTGCACAGAGAACTGTGGGTATGGGGTCTTCCAGGTGCTTCCGACAAATCCCAAAGCTGTTGAGAAACCCTTGCCCCAGAGCCATCACATGTCTCACCTATATCCTTTCTTCAGCTCATTTACTCTAACACGTTCTGAAAATTCTCCAATGTGGTTGAGAATTCCAACCTGTGGATGTAGTATTTTTCTAAACTTCTATTTGCTTATTTGAGAGGCAGAGTGAGACTAGCAAAAAGAGTTCCAATTTGCTGATTTCCTCCTCAAAGGACTGTGATGGCTGGGGTTGGGGCAGGGCTGATGGCCAGGAGCTGGGATCTGCCAGGTGAGCAGTGAGGACTGGACTACCTGCTGCCTTCCAGGGTGGGCATCAGCAGAACGCTGGAGTCAGCAAGGGGGCCAGGACGTGAACCCTATGAGATGTGGGCAGCCCAAGCGGTGTCCCACCTGCTGTACTAAAAGCCCTACCCCAATGTGTTGTTTAAAAACCTGCCACCTTGTCCACATCCTTCTTCCTCTCTATCCTTATCCCACACCCAGCACTCTCACCATGGCCTTGACTTTTGTGTCATTCTTCATGTGCATCCAGTATGTTCTCTGTCCTTGCCTGGGAGTCAACAATCCTGCAACATGTGCTCTGGGGTTGGATCACATCTCCATGTGATTTTTCCCTGAGGTAGGAATCGAGTACAGCTGTCTAGTGAAAGAACCTCTCATGAACTCGCACCTGGGAGATCTTCGGACCTGACTTTGACGTGTGCCAGCTGGTCTAAGTGGCCTGGCCCAGCCTGCCCCAAGCCCTGGCTCTCACATAGACTGGCCTAAGAATTCCTACCATGTCTGTGCTCACACCTGGCTTACACGCACACCAGTGGGTGCTACAACCTGGGTCACTCCAACCCAGCCCTAATCATGGTGATCCAGAGGAACTCCTATCAGGTCCAAACCATGGACACAGTGTGACTTAAAAGTTTAACAAATCTGTAACAGCTAACCTAAAAAAAGATTTATTTGAAGAGTAGAGTTGCAGACAAGGCAGGGGCAGGGAGAGACAGAGAAAGAAGAGATCTTCCATCCACTGGTTCACTCCCTAAAGGGTCACAACAATTAGACTTGAGGCAGAGTAAAGCCAGGAGCCCAGCACTCTGTGGGCTCCAAGCAGAGTGTTCACCCCAGTGGGGCCAAGTGGCCCAGGCTAATTTTAAAGTTGATCCTTTTGTATGGCTTGGGAATGGCACCATCCTTGATCCTCAGCAGAAAAGAGGCTCACCCCATGCTCTAAAATCTCAGTCAGACCCTGCCACTGTCCTGCTCACAACACTACAGGAACTTTCCAGTGTCTACCAGTGTTTACAACGCCTTACGGGATCCCGCCCAGACCTGCATTTGTGTCTTCACATCCCTCCGTTCTCTTGGTGCAAGCACACCAAGCTCTCCAGAACCAGGGTCTCGGCATGTGCGTTTCTCCGTCTGGACAGAACTTGGCTCAGAGCCCCATGGTCTGCCTCCTTTGTATAATCTTCCCGCCCCAGAACCTGAGAGCTCTCTCACTCTGAGCCAAGCCCAGTACCCAGATGCATCTGAGACTTGCTGACTATCTCCCCTATTTGCCTTTACTCCTCAGTTTGCGATCTTTGAGGACTTCACCATGCACAGAGCAGAATTCCAGATTTGAGTAGCTGTTGGGTAGCTGAGTCAAGGACTTGACGCCCCGTCGATGTTGAATTCAAGCGAGCTACCCCTCTCTTGCTTGACACTTCCTCTTGGATTGCTGAGAGGACTCAGCCAGTAGATGTCTGTTAAACAGAGCTGAGGAGATATTTAGGAAGGGAAGAGGGCAGGTGTGTGGCACAGGACCTACTTCAGATGACAGCATCCCAAGTCAGGGTACTGGTTCCAGTACTGGCTGTTCTGTTCTTGGCCCAGCTTCCTGATAATGCACCTGGAAAAGTAGTGGAGCATGGACCAATTATTGGGGCCTCTGCCGCCCAAATGGGGGATCTGGATAGAGTTCCCAGCTCTTGGTTTTAGTCTGGCTCAGACCTGGCTGGCTATTGCAACCACATGGGATAGTGAATGTAGAGATGGGAGATCTCTGTGCTTTTCATTCTCTCTATT